GTATCGGTATCGGACATTTCTCAAAGTTGTAATATCGGTATCGTATCGGAAGTGAAAAAGTGGTATCGGGACATTCCAGTGAAATATATTTATGTTTGTGGTTGTAATGTGACAAAATATGGAAAAGTTCAAGGGGTATGAATACTTTTGCAAACCACTGTAGATCTGTAAACCACCTGTGAGTGTTTGTACACCAACATCTGCAGCTGCAGCAGCATCTCAGGTGTTTTCTGTTGGGATTCAGTTCGTCAGTCACACTCGTACCAGCACCTGCCATCCCCAGAGACACAGTCCTCAGCAGCACAGTCTATTTGACTGTCTGCCTATCTAACATTTTGTCCCTCTGCATGGGGCTGCTCCAACCAGGATGTGGCTACATGGGCTATTAGCTCATACTCCTGCGGATCCTCTGAGGAAGCCTGACATCCATGACCCTGGAAGCTGGAGTTCCTCCTGTGATGAAACATTTATGTTTAATTTTTTTTCTTTTTTCTATTAGTTCTCTGTTGTTTCGGACAGCAGATGTTTGCCGTCGCTGCTGCTATGAAACTAGTTTTTTAGTGTGATGATGGGACCCATGTAGTGCTCATCGTGTGGAGTTTCATTTGCAAAAATAACCTGACAGGATTTTTATGAGTTGATGGTCTTTGCCTTTGTTGGCCTCATTGGCAATTTTTATGTAAAATATCCTGAAATGCAGATGTTGTTTTCTACTTTGGGAGGTTTAATGGGGACATATCATTCAAAATCCACCTTTTTTTAGCCATTAAAGGCATTTTGTTGTATAGTTGGAGTCTCTAGGAGTGCAAAAAAATTGAATCGTCTCTCCCAGTGCTACAAAGATATCTTTATATTCTTTTTTTGGTAATAATTTTCAACCTTTTTTATGATGTTTTCTTAACTATTATGTCAAATCATTTGTGACTGAACCATGCCAAATAAGATCTGGACCTACCAACTACAATTTGGTGGTCTTTGTTCTCCTCTGGTTCTGGGTCAGACTCTGGCTCCAACATGAAAGGTTTGATGGACAAATCTTCTCTTGTTGACGTCTTTTAATTAATTTGTAAACAGTTTCTGTGCAGCTATATAGTCTTAAACCCTCTATCAAACTGGAATGGACCACTCGTAGCTGGAGGGAGGCGAGGTGTGAAACATCTCATTTGGATTTAAAGGGCCAATATTATGTGTTTCTCAGGCATATATTTAAATACTGTACCATAATAAAGTATCTGTGTCACCTTTAGCTGTTATTAAAATGCTGTTTTTATGTTTAAGTAGAAAATAAACGTATCTTCTCATCACTTCCTCTTCTAAACGCCTTGAAATTGGCCTCTGTCTCTTTAAGAACCACCTTCGCTTCTGTCTCGCCCATTTCGGCGCGGGGGGGCAAAATACTTTTCCTCAAAGGTATTTTTAATCTGAAAAAAGCTTCACTGAGTGAGAACTAATGTTAGGAGCTCAGCAGACA